TGTTTTCAGGGGTTGTAGTTCGACCCAAGACTAGACACATGTTTCTTTATTTTTGTCAAAGCTCTGAATCCGAATCCTAAGCCAAAATTGCCATACTACCTTTCAGTTGTTTTTTTAATGGCGAAAAAGCAATGAAATTTATAATCTTACGGTGGTTTTTCGCAATTACAAAATCTGGAGGGTGGTTGCGCAATTGTGGCTTCAGAATCGGATTAAGTGCGTCAACATACAAAGAAAAACATGTGTCAACTCTTTGCATCTGACAATAATCTCCGAAAAACAAAATATACAATGTGACGGTGGTTTTTCCCGATTTAACAAATCTATCTTCAATATTTTCTCATTACATGATTGCAGGCTATCTGTAAAATCACAGAAATTATTTTCATCTCTCGGGTTTCTCAGAGTTGCAACGCTGCGTAATACCTCTGTCTATTGAACTATTTAACATACTGCACGAATACACTAAACACTCCGCCATTGTTACGATATCTACAAAAGGAAACCTTTCTTCCCAAACCGAAAGAAAATTAACATGTGTAGATGGTCCCCCACCCATCTTTCCTGAAACATCGGCAAAGGTTCACTGGTTTTCGTTATCGGCAACCGCCATCTGCCCCTCCCACCCCCCTTTGCCCAAGGGGAAACTGAACTCTGACGTCATAACTCCGCCAGTAGGCAAACGCTGTCTTCGGCGAAAAGAAAATGACAGAGGGTGATGTCAATTAGAATCTCTGGTGGAATAATAGTGGTATTAAAATAGTAGTGCTACAGAGTGGCACTGACTTTCCCGTATTCGTTTCCTATTTCCTTTGGTCTCGGCTAGTTATGTGGACTTGCCACATACTCTTGTCAGCTACCATCTATCGCCGACCAAAGTACATTTTTTGACATTTTCTCAATTTTTCGGTTTCCTAATAATATAATCAAAATATTATTTTAAGAATACTAAAGAACTGTAAAATCTCGTATTAAATGACAATTTTAAAAAATTGAGGCCAATTTTTAGAAAATGTCGTTTAAACTCTACTGCAAAGGCGAAATTTGAAGCTCTTTTTAACAGAAATTTTTTGAATTATCGAAAAACTTCATTAAAAGTAATTTGAAGCACTTTAACACACAAATACAATAGTATTTACAAATTGTTAGAAATGTGCATATTAATGGCGCCAGAGATCTTTCAAAAAATTGATTTGTGTAATTTTTGAAAAAACAAAAGAATACAGAGAAATTAATTTTATGTCTTTTTAAACATAGGAATTCGCACCATCCACACGAAAAGTTTGAAGAAAAAATGTTGAGCCGTTTTTGAAAAAAATGCCGTTTGAACATTTCTGAAAATGCTGGATTTTGAGCTAGTTTCCACAGAAAACTAATGAGTTTTCGGGAAATTTTATATAACATTACTTACAGCAGGAAAGACGGACGGACAAACGTTTTGAAAAAAAAACTTTTTCCATATCAGTGGACCCCAAAACATGTATTTCCGTTGAAATCTCGAAATCAATTTCCCACAGCATTACAGAACTTTCCCCATACTACGTATATTACTCCGTATATACGTAGGTATACGGGAAAGTAAAAAGGCGATCATAAAGAATGTACAAATTATAGACTTATTACTGAGACAAATTCTGTTTCGAGAATATATGTGTAAATTATCAAGACTAGACTAGAAAAGTCAATCACGGACGTAGAATTTTTTTTTTATTTTTGAGCAGGGAGGTTTTGCATTGATGGAATATTTTGCGGTCGTCAAATAATAGATAAAAGGCTGTAGAAACTCATGTGGTCTTTATAGATCGTGGCTACTGCTACACTACAAGAAATGGCGTCAGCGGCAAATATCCTCGCTAATCTTACTACTACTACGCGTAAATATTATATGGTACAACTTCATCGGAATTCTTGCATTCTTTTGAGTTTGTTGAAAGCTTCAGGCAGACTACTGGATATCAACCCAAGTTTAATGATAAACTTTTTAAGATTAAAGCTTATTATCACAAGTAACATTTATACAAATTTAAGCGATTTTGTTGTCAATAAACACTTGAATAAGATCACGGTATAAATCCCAGAGATGGGGAGAGTATTTATTACATACCTTTCAATATAATTATTTAAAATTCAAGAGCTCGAGTGCCAACCAATGAATACTCAACCGTCTCAATACACGCCTCTAAAGTGCGCTGCATTACTGGAAACATGTCTTTACAACTCCCATATTACCAAGGTACCTGGGACTGGCGCATACGACACGGAAGTTCCATCTACACGAAACATAAAGCAACGAAACAATATTAAGCATTCAAAAGGAATTATCACATAAATTCTGACAGTGGTGTATATAGTATAGAAGTACTGTATACAATTACTTTACCTATACCAACTACGTCACCTCCCCCTCTCGGCTATTTTTATTACACATAAGGATCTAGAAATCCCTGAGATGTATAAATATGGACACATTCGTGAGTCAATTGCTTGTATCTTACAAGTTAGTTACTATATACCGTTTTTATTACCGTACGCCTAGTTTAATTGATGCATATATTTTTACTTTCTCTTCTTAATTCACAAGAAGAGAAAGTATTGCAATCGTGCAGCTGGAAAATGTGGTTCTTGACAGAAAAACCCTCATTGCCGGGCTCTGGTAACCAAAAAGTTCATAATTCCTATTTATACAGTTAATTACTTGCTCTAACAAGATGTATAGTCAGATTCCATGTTTTGTGAATCCTTGATACCGAAATCGTTCGACTGTCCCTCTGTGTGCGTGAGTATGTGTGCATGTCCGTCTGCGGTCAACGCCAGGGCTTAAACCATTCACACGATCTTCTTCAAAATTAATATTCCCAGATCGATCTAAACCAACTCAAGGCCCTTCGAATTTGAAACGGATATTTTAATCTTGTTGGGTACTTCACAAGAAAACTTATAATTTTCAAAACTTTCTTAATAATGGATTTACAGTTTTTTTGAAACTTGTCCTCCGATAGCGTAAAGGACACTTAAATAATGGTGCAGGTCTCATTTCCGTTAAAATACCTAATACTTTGAAAAATGCAAAAGTTCAAATTTTTGTCGGAGACTTCCTACAACTAACATATTGAAGACAGACTTTTTTCTTTTAATGAAATCTGTTCCTAAAGATTGATTTTGAAATAAAATCATGTACAGTTTTTGAAAAAATTGAGTTCTTTTCACATAATTTTGCGAGAAAATACGGGGGAGAAAGTACGTCGTGTTTTAGCACCACTAGCTCTCAAAATGTTTTCCCCGGGTAGAAAAAGGTAAGGTTAAGAGAATCGCCATGATTCATTTTTGTTGAACTCTCTGTATTCTGCAAAAGTTGAAAATATTTGAGAAAGTATACGCGATTGTAGAACCACTAGTTGGTTTTTGAAGGACTATTATGTCTGGTCTGTTTGCAAATACTGTTTTATCAGTTCTATTTTCTCCGTCTCAATAAATGTTGAACAACGAAGTTGACAAAGACTGTATGAGGAGTGTAGTTGTAGTATGCAGTGTTTGCCTCTTCTATTAGCCTAAACTTTGTCTCAATGCTTTATGAATAATTTGGAAAACATTTTTGTGGTTGGTGTCGCGAGCGTACTACACGATCCAGTGCAAGACGGATTTACTAGCTTTGAAACTCGGGGTCCAGATGTACTCACAAATTATTGGACGGCTTGGTTATTTATAAAGTATATCGCCTGCAATCGACATATATTCGAAAGAAATATATTCCCTTCGACGACTTAGGTCAATATTCCCGTAAGAGAAATGCATTGTTTTTCCCAGGAGGCGGCAATGTTCCTCGCCCGCTTGAACGTGAGTGCCAGCGCCAACATTCAAATTGGCTTATGAGTAGGGTTCCCTCCAGGTACCTCCTTCGGATAGGCACGGCCCCAGCCGGCAAACGCTCTAAGCTCCCAGCAACTGGCCTCTCGACATGTGCAATAATGGAGTAAGTGTGTGAGGTAAAAGGGTAGATGAAGAGAAAAAGGATGAAAAATAAAAGATCACTCATGGTCCATGACCCGTTTGTAAGGGTTCTGCTTCAGCATTTGTCTATTATTGATCGGAGAAACCCCGGAAAACTACCAATCAGAGTAACCGGCCTCTGGAATACTCCTTGGGGAATGGTTTAATTTTAACCAGCTTATGTAGCTAGAGTAGAAAATCCCCCACCGTCGAGACTCGAGCCCTACGTCTTTCCGGTCCGAGTCGTTGCAGAGACAGCCACAATGGAAACTCTGAGCTAACTCAGCCGGTGTTACTGTGCGAGTCTGTACATCAACTTCATTTCGGACGATCTTCCGTATGCTTTACACCGGCGTCTCACTTCGTCTTGACCAAAGACAGAGCAGCTAAGCACGGTTTTCGGAGAAGATTCGAACTGTCGGAAGTCATGAATACGCTTTGGCCAAGAGCGTACATTGATTTAGCGATCTCTAGTAAGTCGACAATTAGCATTCAGGAATTCCCAAACTTGCATGTATGTATCGTTTAGGATGTCTACATTTATTGAGGAAAGAAAATTCACAATACGGCATTTGAGATAAGAAAAAAACGTTGTATTTGACTGCCTATCTTTGGACAATGGGCATATGCCAGTTAAATTGGAACCGAGGTAAATCTGGAATTCCAATGATTAGTAAATGTCCTGCCACTATTCTGTACTATGAAATATTTGAAAACCACTATCACCAAAAATGTGTGAAGAGACACCTAATCAAGTGACGTACTACGAGCCCAAAACTCGAGCTAGTACTTAACTAACAACTTAACCTGAAAAAAACAACACTGAATTAAGTATTTTCTGAAAATATTATTCTTACAAATTATTTTGTAGAGCTCTTTTCCAACTGCTCTTTTCAATTATCAAGGCTAAATTCGAGTACACGGTTAAATGAAATAACCAACTATTTAGAGGGTGTTAAAGCTAAGCTTTAAATGTTTTCGCATATCCAACGCAATTTGAAAGAAAAGTGAAACTAATCAATGCGTCTGAAAGACAGAATAATTATGCAATAAATTGGTAGTTAGAAATTAAATTAAAGGATGGTGCGAATCGCAGTTATATTTTTCTAGATTGCCTATTTTGAGAAGAGAAGTGTGTACACCACTATCAATAACCACATTACTTGCGTGATAAACGAAAAGAACTCCAACACCACAGTAAAGTGGTTATCTGATGGAGACTTCTGTACTGAATATAGAGTACTCACCAAATATCCCAAAAAGGAGAGCATACTCCGTAGGCATTAAATCGAAAATTGTCACGTAAATAAAAGAAAAGCAAAAATAAATTCATTGAGAGTGCACAATATCCCACGAGATAATTAAAAATAATTGAATACAGAACTTAAATTTGGACGTTTATTTTAATCTCTTTCTAATGTACATACAATTTAAGCAGGGATCGTTATTTCTTGTTCGCGTTCAACTCTTGTCAGAGTAACGTACATATTTAATGCGCTTAAGTTACAACTTTGTGGTAAAGTTATTAATATTCGCATTGTATGGACATATTTTGAAAAATAAAATTTTAACATTGAATGAAAGAGCAAGTAATATGCTTTTCGAACAGGCTTTATGACCTCGAACAACAAATCAATCAATTGAATCAAGTCTGTTTTCAGGTGAGTTTTGCAAATGCAAGAATAATTGAGATTGATTTATGATGAGCATTTTTGGCATGTATAATGTTGTTTACAGTTATTTTGAAACCCATTTAGTTGAACTCGCCATTAGTGATTCGGCAGCTTAACACAAAGGTGTCATCTGACAAAATGGCGCGGTGTCTTCATACCATGTTACCGGGAACACACATCAAGACTTCTTTCAAAACTCTCTTCGTATATCACATTATTAATCTAAAGTGTTCGCCAGTGTCATTAAAACATTGAGTGATTTGCCACGTTACAAGTGAGTATGGTTAACACCTAGCAAATCCCACTACACTGCTAATGAACAGAATTTCTTTCGACATTCATCTTAATAGGTAACAGATAGTATGTGTCATGTGTCAAAAACGAAGTCAATGGTATATTGCTCTTGAAATGATCCATGAGATAAGAGCACTCGGAATATAATAAAACGTATCGATAACAATCAAAACGCAATGAATTACGACACATACTGTATTAACACATAAAGGAATGTCAGAGACATGTCTAGTTATACAAGAAGGTAAACAACGGAAAAAATGTTGAATAAAAAAAGTAAAGAATTAATAAAGCAATAAACTAATACACTATTAATAATAACAAAACCTGTACATAGGGCTTAAATCTTCGATGTGAACGAATGTTTAAAAAAAATAAGTCTACTGTCAAAATTAGCTCTTTCTGACTCACTGGGCCTCTAATCGAGTTGAAGCGCAGGTTAAAAATCGCTGAAGCGAGCCCGTTGCGGGGGCAGCGGCGCCGGAGGCTTCCGCGAGCGGCGAAGAAGAGACTAACTTTCTGAGCTGCTTGCTGCGGAGGGCGGCGGCAGCGGCGGCGGCGGCGGCGGACCTGGAGACGTCGGCGACGAGCGCGTGCAGCATCGGGCCCTACAGGTTGACAAGCGGCGTTCCGCGCGGCGCTAAAAGACGAGCTAAGAGGCCGCTCGTAAATTACGTCACGGTCGACAGCGCGACGAGAGTTTGGTCGAGTGCGGCGATGTGTGAAGCGGCAGAAGGCCGGGGACGGGACGGGACGGGACGGCCACCGCGGGCGACTTGCCCGCCTTCGAAAACAGAGCGCGCGCGCCGCTTGGCCCAACGGAGGCGACATCGATGACCGCGGTTTCAAAACGTCGATGGTTCTTCAATCCCACAAGCGCTCCACTTCCAATCAGGGAAACGAAAACCAAACAGAGCACGCATCCGCAGGAAACTACCCAGACCAGTTTTTGACCCACCCTCAACCCATCGCACAGACAACTCCGCGAAATAATTCTAAAGCAATAATAGATTCAAAATGTAACTCAACTCATTATCTCTGTATGTAATGTATTCAAACCCGTTGCGAAAGAGGTTGTACACCTGAAATCAAATAAATTTTTTAAAAATAGATGTTTCTACAAGTATATCGATGCTTTAAAGTACTCATCTATCTTGAAATAAAGTTTTTTCATAAAAAATGAAGTTTTTGATTTTTTGTTTGCTGTGCATGTGTATTTTGAATCCTTAAATCCCTTTGTTTCTAATTTTTTACTACGCGCATATGCCATGTCCCACGGCCATTTGCTGTTCCAGTGACCAAGATCGCAACAAAAAAAGGTAATTTCTTGAGTCATTATAAAAAATGCAATTTAAACTAACGTGAACTCCATATGTTGTCACATCAAAAGAAGAATATATTTTTGGGGCTAATTCTTTCTTACAATTGAGGAACTAGTGGTCACAGACAACTACTTTAGAGCTAATTATTCTTAACCTGACTTTTCCCTAAAGTTATTTTTTCTGGCTTTTGACCCGACTCGAAACATTATAACTCTTCTAATTTTAAAGATATCTTTATAATTCAATTTTTATTTAATAGCAGAAAGTCAATTTTTTGCCTATACTAAAATTATTATAGAAAATGCAAATTAGTAATAATACATTACTCTATTAATTGTTATTGACACCAGTGATTTTTAAAAGTTCAAATTCAGATCTCCGCATAGTGCTCGCCAGTTCCTTATGAATCTTCATATTTATATACAGGCACTAAAGTATAATACAAGAAACAATCTTAAAAAGGATAATGTATAGGTTCATGAGTTATGATGTTTCAAATTATACCCTGTTTCTGATATGAAAAATACAGGCATATGGGATGAAATAAGTAAAAAACATTAATTTTTTCAACTTTGTTAATATCTAATCAAACGATTGATAATGATTAAATTCAGATTTATGCTACAAATGAAAATTGTAAAACTCAGGTAGACAAGTACTTTAAATCACAGTATATTGAAGCTGATGTTGTTTGAACATCGATGTTTTCTGTTCGATGTTTGTAGGTTTCGAAGTTCTGTTCGCGCGCATTCGTGTGTGTGTGTGTGTGTGTGAATTTTTAGTATTTTCTAGTGAATGTAGGGAATAGGGCGGAAAGGTATTTTCTCCTGTTTACCCATAGGGCCAAAAAATCGAGGTCTTTAAGCGGGATCTAGCGCCTCAACTGTCCATCAAAAATTTAAAGTTAAAAAATAATTTTGTAGGGAATTTTGTTTTTATTGTAATGGTGTAATGGATATTTCCATAAAAGGAATATCTGAAATATATAATCGGAGCAATGAAAAGTAAAGCATTTCTTCCATTTGAGGTGCTCAACCTCAAACTTGATTTCAGCCCTCAACAAACATATAGAAGCGATGAAAAAAATATTTCATCCGTTTTTTTCTTGATTTTTTCCTGAATTGGCTTCGTTTTTTAGCACCAACTGTTTGGCGTCCCTTTATGAGCTACACACGCGACAATATAATATGGAATTAAGTGCCAATGCTCTTTTGAAAATCAAAAGCAAGAGCCACAAAAGACGCCTATAAAGTGTTTGAGTTTATATTGGATTTTGTAACTCAAGGACTATTACAATCAACTATTGCTGAAGAAAAATATAAGTTGTTAACATAATTTCCTTCGGCCTCAAAATTATAGAGTGAAGTCTGAGCAACTAAATCAAGAAAGAAACTTTTTCCATTCCAACCAAACACACAAACCCGTAAGTTATTACTTATGAGTTAAGGATATGAATAGAATGTCTCCACAGGCAATAACAAATTAAAAAGTGATTAGATCTTTATAAAATATGGCGCTACTGAAATAACATCTGGCGGTACAAAATGGTGGCATTCGCTTCGCGCAATTCCGAGTGAGTGGGCGGGCGGCAAATGCTCTTGCATACTTGTGCAAGAGCAGGAGGTCGGCGTTGCGCGTACCCAATTGTAAAGGCACTGTCTGTTTCAACTAAATTCACTATCAATTAGTAAAATAAACCAAAACTTTTGATTTATTACAAAGAATTACGCCATAGAACATATTTATTCTGTAAAAACAAATAAATGAAAAAATGGTACAAAATATAACAAAAATACGACCAACATGGGAGGACAACCCTGATGAAATAACTCAGAGCTTCTAGCACCCGTTGCTGAAGACTGAAAAATGTCCGTACTCGCAGATTGCTGATTGTACTCATCTAAGTGAGATATCTGCAACAGAGGACCTTATCTTCGAGACTCATTCTATTGGATTCCGAGAACGCAGACGACAATAAAAACACCAAACTAAATTCGATTCCTTCATGTGGCATGGTTGGTTGCCTATACGTGGCAATCAATGACAATAATCACAAATAGCGCAACATTCCATCTGCCCTCCCATCAAAATCGCTTCGCGTTTCCCTAGACGACCGCGGGAAGAACATATTGATAATAAAGCATGAAATGAAACAACCTAAACTTAGTATTAAAGAAATCAATTGTTTCTACTCTTTATTATAATGAATTATTTATATGAAACTTTGATTTCGTTTCGTTATTTCCTAGTATTTTATTTCGTATTGATCGTAATTCAATGAATTTTACACTCATCTTAAACTTACCTCGTGGTCTCTGGAGTCACGAACCAATATGTGTGTGTATATATATATATATATATATATATATATATATATATATATATATATATATGTAGATAGATAGATAGATAATTCAATTTCAACATAGACTTGAAATATTCAAAATATTATATTAAAAATAATGTGGAGAAATGATAGAAGAAAATTGCATTTGTTTGAGTGATTAAAAGACATCCTATGAAGAATATGTCGATTACCCCTCCACTCTCAGTGACATAGAAAGACAAAACCGTATATTCGACGAGTCTCGTGATGAATACTAAAACATTACACGCCTCGCTACTTCTTTACTCGTTAAAGAGTGAATATATCCTTTTATTTATGATAGAAAATTCATAATATCCACTTATACATGTGTGACCAAATCGGCCATCCATGCCTGGAAAGTTTTTAGTGAAAGACTAAGCGATTCGATTTATCATGCCAGTTTGATATTCTCGACATGAACGAGCCGTTTGAGCAATCTTTTCTCAAATTTGGCCTTACATACCTGGAGGAAGCAAATTTACTGAAGCATGAATACCAAGGGAATCAGGGTCTACATTTCACATTTCAAATTACAAGGATCAAACATTAAGATCAAGGATGTAACAATTCCATTACGGAAACATAGTACTTACGAGAAGATTATTTCGTGGTTAAAATTTTATCATCACAATAAAAGTAATATACATTAATAACGTCGAACACACAATATAGTCGTATGTATTCTTTTCTAAAAAAACAATTACATCTTTGATAGACAAATAACGTTAAAAATAATTCAAATAGGTTTTATTGCCGTTATCTCTGCAAACATCATCGATCGAGATATCCGTTTCGAGTTTCAGCGAAGTGGGATTTTCAATGCTAGCTACGTAACTGGACCGAAAAATGCAGAATGGCATTTCAAGTCTCCTGGGGTGGTGATGTGTTAAAAATTATTTGTTATATTTTATTTATTTAAATTGCTTATATTGCTTTATAACAATTTTCTGTTGTTTATAAATCTCTTATAACTACTTTATTTTATTTTTCTTCTTTCAATTATCTCTATCTTTGTAGTCTGCTTTCTTTAAATCTATTCTATTCATAATTTCAAAAAATTGTTTTAACCAAGTATGTTTAGGATATCCTCTTGACTTTTTACCGCTAGGAAACCATTCTAAAATATTTTTTGAATTCCCTGTTTTCAGATTCTTTTGACATGTCCAAACCAAACCAAAATTTATCTTATTTTTTCATAAATTTTCGAAGTATAGTATAAGACTTTTTCCTACTCTAGAAATCCATGCTGCTAATCGTAAAAAAATCAATTCCGAAGCTAAAATTTCATTTTAATTGTCTTGTCAATTTATGTGTTTCTACATCATACACTACAATACTTTCTACAATAGCTTTCATTTTGTTTTATTATTAGTATAAATATGTTTACATTGTTTAAAAAAACAACTGTCCTGTGGAATGCAAATCTCTTGCAAACTAATGGATTTGAATTTGCTGCCTCCCTAGAACTACGTTCTCACCATTAAGCCTCGCCATAAGAGCCTGCATTTTCTACCAACCAGGACAGAGAGAAAAAATGATTGCGTTGTCCTCAGTACATCAATTATAATCGAAATAACGTCATTATTTACATTCCACATGTACCTCACATCAATTGAAAGGTCCTTGTATTTAAAATGTATTTTCTGATAAATTGCAATTGATGTCACGATTGCAGGAAGTCGCTAATTGTTACAAGACATACTTCCTTCGCTTTTTATGTACAACGTTTACGATATACGTATCAGTCAAAATAGAACACAATATTTCTGTCTGAAGGTATTCCACTTTTCTCAAAACGGAACATAGAAAGTCAATGGGGCTAATTGTATTAGAATCCCTTTTCAAAAGTGGCAATACAGTATCATAATTGTTTTCTAGAAGCACTTTTCATAGTGGCAAGTTCTCTGTTCAG